TGCTCAGCACACACACAGTACACCATGCTCAGCACACACACAGCACACACAAAAGACATGACTTCATCAGAACATTTATTGGGGGCAATCAGTACCATTAATAAGACAGATTATTTCTGGGGAAGAAAACCTTTTCCACTGAAATTCTGAGCCATAATTTTCTGCTCACATAGCCGGGACAAGTCTGCCAACACAGTTCCTACAGCCAGGGATGGCACTGCCCGAGGAACTTGTCCAACTCTCCTCGAGGGGGAGTTTCGGTGTGCCTCTGGCCCCACAGAGGGTGTAGGTGAGCGAGGCTGTGAAACCACACCTCTCTGGGGCTGTCTGTCCCTGTCTTCCACCCATCTCTTTTGACCAACAAAAGCAGTGGCCTGGTGGTAGGACTTGGGACTCGGCACTTTAGGGTAGGCTGCTTGGTGGTGGAACAGACTCCCCTGGACTGGCTCTGCTGGGACCCAACCCTCTTTCTTTGGCTTAGTTTTCACAGGCTTGGTAGGAGGAGTTAAAGGCACACGGGGACGCGTGGCATCTGCTGCACCATAACTATGCCCTAGTTGCTCCTTGGGGACCTTCCCAGGGTCTCTCATGGCTTTCTGAGCTATGGTGTTCCCAGGAAAGGTAGCTCTCCCCCTAAGTAGTTCTGGGTGCTGCACTGGTGATGATGGGGAAGTGTCTTTTCTCGGCAACATTTCCTGTCCTTTGCATTTTCTGTCAGGAGAAAGCCGTTGCAGAAATTGTTTGAAGTGCTTTCTGAACTGGTATTCAGGGGGAGTCTGTGCCTTTGCTGGCAGGGGTTGTGAGGCCTTCTCCCCATAGCTCCCTTGGGTTGGACTGTCCTGTGCATGGAAGCTCTTCCCATTGGCCTGTAATGTCCTAGGCTTTGCAACCCCTGTCCCAGGCTCTTCGGTTTTCCATGGTTCAGGCCATAATTTCTTGGCAGATGGAGGGATGTCCTTGTTCTGGCCTTTGCCTAAGGCGTGAGGAGGCATCCAGGTCTCCTGTCGCTGTACTGGAGAAGCATCCATGGGCCCCCTGGAAGGGCTCTGGCCATGGATGGGGAAAGGTTTGCAAGTGAATTCATCTGAGGCAGGGAGCTTTTTATTTGGGGACCCTAGAACTTGGAAGGGCAGTCTGCTTTCTGATTTGAATTTCTCTTCCCTGGATACCGGATTATTACAGTCAGATATCTGACTTTCCTGGGGACCTGATGTTTCCTTCAGGGCCCTTCCAGCTACCAGAGTACTTTGTACTTTTGTTGTACTCTTGCACTGGCTGGTGTTCAAGATCTTGGTAGGTTGTGGTTGAAGACCACTGAACTGCCCTCCTTTGACCATGTTACTGACCTTGTTGGATACAAATATGCCTTTGTCATTCACCTTTGTTCCTTGAGGCCCCCAGACTGTTTTGCTGGGTCTCTTACCCAATGAAACAGGGCCAGCCTCATTGGCTATTCTGGGCACATCTGGGCTGTGTTTATTGCTCTCTGACTCTTTCAGGCTTCTGTTGTCTAAGATAATGGATGTCTGTTGCAGCACAGACTTGGCCATTATATACTTGCTCTCGACACGTCCATCCTTCTTGTCAGAAGGTGACTGTCTCTGAGCCTCATGCTCTTCCTTGCCCACTTGTGAAGTAAAAGGGGGAGGATGATACCCTGATCTGGACCTGGTGTCCGATATCTGACCCTTGTTTGTTTCATTGAGATTCCTGGTCAAATGCTTTTGCAGGGCAGTTTCAAGTTTTTTCCGATATTGGCTCACCTGTGAGGTCCCTGAAGGTTTGCCTGACAGACTACTTGAGTGGCATTGTGGGTTTTTCTGACAGTCAGATTGCAGGCCATTATCTAGAGCACCCTTGGAGTTATCCCATAGATTTCTTTGGACAGCCTCTGAGTTCTGTCCTTGTGTCTTTTCCATTTTTTTCTCTAGAGACTGACTCTCTGAACACCTCTCCTGGGAGCTTCCAGGTTGGTTTGACACAGTGTTGTGTGGGTCTTTGCTGTCCTGGTGCTGAAAGACAGAGACCTGTGAGAGCCCATGGTTGCTCATAGATGATTCTTCAGGGTCAGGATTCATCCATGGCTGAGACTTGAAGATCCTCTCAGAGAGGCCCCAGCGCTGCAGGATGAGCCTCTTTCGAAGGTGGTTCTCGAGTTTCTTCCGGAATGCATCAGTCAGGGGGAAGTTTCCAGAAGGAACGGACTTGGGAGCATGGGTCTTGGAGGACCGCCTGACCAACGATGGCTTGGAAGGTAGGAGACAAAACTTTTCCTGAGATTTTTGGACCACCGAGGGTAAACTCCACGCCCTCTCCTGTCCCTTTGTCAGGAGGTGGATTTCAGATTGCAGTAGAGCTTTTGTCTCTCCTTGGGATCTATGAAAATACACCTCACAGATTGTGATCTGAGACTGAGAGGAAGACGGTGGCATTGGGATTGCAGGTTGAAGCTGGGTCTGGGATGTGTTGAGCAGGACACCCTGGGACTGAGATTGACTCCCAGGCAAGGACAGAGGTGTGGGGTGAGTCAGGGCCGAGGAGTCTGGGATTCTGTTGAACCAGATGCATGTGGAGGAGCAGTGAGCTGACAGGGTAGTGATCGTGTGCACTGACTCGCTGTGGAGATATGGGAGACCCCAGAAGTGCTGGGTAGGCTTGGGTTCTAACTGGTCTTCAGAGATTTGAGCCTGAGCAAGCCCCTGGTGCACAACCAGATCACTGAGCCTGTCTTTGCTGCCCCCCAGAGGAAGGGAGCCTCCTGAGCTCTGCAACTCAGGCTCTGGGATTTCCGGCCAAGCTGTCAGTACTTTTGGGAAAGATTCTGCTTTTCCTTCCTTGTCTTCCAGTGTAAGGAAGTCAGCCTGACTTTTGCCTTGTCTCTCAAGCAATGCCAGGACTTGGGGGCTGGGAAAAGAGGGTTTCCCAGGCATTGTGAAATAGACTGTGGTTTGTCCCCCTGAAAAACCGTCAGAAGAGTGGGAGTTAACCAAGCTTCTAGACTGTGACCTGGAGAACCTTGGTATGTTACCACGAGCTTCCTTGTCTGTTGTGGCACTGAGGAACCGCTCTCTCAGCCTGGCCACCATGGAAGGAATGATTTCCGGTGGCAAAGACCCTTCTGTTTGAGGAGTAGGGGACTGTGATGCAGGAGGAACTGTGGGGGGTGGGATGTGGTCCCGTGGGAAGTCAGTCCTGGTGAGAAGAGGCTCTGACGGCAGAGAGTCACCTTGTGGTGCGTACAAAACTATGTCTTCCAAAGGGGTGTCTTTGTTAGATGAGACAGTGGAGGGAGGAGGAGGAGCAGGTGGGAGGGATGAAATTTGGCGCTCTGGAGGGCTTGGTGAGAGTGGAGGGGTCAGGGTAAATGAGGTCTCAGTCATGGAAGTGGAAGCCATGCTGGACACAGAGGCATTCCCATCTTCCAGGGTGGCCCATGAGAGCAGACGACGGACCTTAGCTGTTGCTCCATTGCACACGTCACAGCAGGGATCCGGACAAAGCACTTGCCGAAAGTGGGAGGCATCATACCGCTGTCCAAAAGGGCTGGAGAAGACAGAGTTCAGGTGTGTGGTCAGGACCTGTGTTCTAGTTTTCGTCTGCTGTCAATGTGGCGCTATCTACTGTCAGCTGAGAGACCAGCCTCAGTGGAGGGATTGCCTCCGTAAGACAGGCCTGTAGAAAGTTGTCTTGGCTGTTAATTCATGTAGGAAGGCTCAGCTCAGCCCACTGAGAAGCACCACCCTTAGACAGATAGTACTGACCTGTTTAAAAACAACTAACTGAACAGAAGTGTATCTAAGTGTTAGCTAGCAAGCAGTATTCTCCACAGGTACCACTTCTTGGCTATGAAATTTCCTTAGTTGGAGGCAATGAACTCTCCTGCCTTCAAGTTCCTGCCTCGACTTCCCTCAACAGCTGACTGTGATCTGGATTTACAGGCTACAATAAACCCTACTCCTTAAAGGTGCTTTTGGTTGTGGCGTTTTATCACAGCAACAGCAACAAGACTAGGACAACCAGCATGCATAGAAAGAGGGCTACAGGCCCAGGTGGGGTTCGGAGCCTGGAGCCTGTATGCCTAGTCCTTTTGCTCTGTCCTTGGATACCAGAGAGGCTGCATCCTCTCCCCATGACTCCAGTCTACACACTTAATCCCTTTGGGTAACCCTCCCATGACAACAGCAGGCTATGCTAAGTTGACCTTGGGGTAAGGATGGGGGTGGGACCTGAAAGAAAGGGAAAATTGTTACCTTTGCACAACAGACAGCAGCTTCCTCCTCTCCTGAGCTTCTCTGTGGAAGATTCTAAATTCTGGAAAGCGTGTGGTGTGGGTTGTAGGGAACAAAAGACAGAGAGGTGGGCGTCACACCATTCCTCTAAGGGAAACACCTAGGCTATTGTAGTCTGAAATCATCAAGAAACAGCGGACATGATGAGTTGTCTTCATTTACAAGGTCCCTCTGTGAACATCATGGCACTATGGACAGCACAGAAGCTCACAAGTCTGGGCTTCCCGAGAGATGTCTGAGCCCAGGTGTGAGGTACAGACATGCCACCAGGAGGCGCTGTGGCTACGGAAACAACGCACAGTCCTCCCTGGAAACCTCCTGGGCTCACTGCATGGCTTCATGCCCATGGGTGAGCAGAGCAGGGGTGCAGGGCTGGTTCTCAGTCTCCTATGAGGGAGATAATGTGTCTAGTGACATGGTATCCTCAGCTGTTGGACCCGGGCTCTCTTATGGAAATTACAGGAAGGAAACATGTTGGTCTTAACACCCCAGGGGTGGGAGCCTACCTTTAAACGATGCTCTCCGTCCTTTCTTAGCTTTGCCCTGTTGCTGTGAACAACAAAGAATAAAAAATGTTTTTTTATGGGTGCAATGAGCTTTATTGATGGTATTCAAGAAGAGTAGGGCTCCCTAAGCCCCTCAAAATGTTTTTTTTTTTTTTTCTGTTGTTTTTCCTAGAATTCATTTAACCAAGAATATGGTGAGTTCCAGTCAAGCAAGATTAATCCAAATCTTTATTGTTTACTTTCGAAAGTGATAGAAGATTTTCAGTCCTTCCTTCTTTGAGAAACCAAAGGAGGATTTTCGTCTGCAAGAGTCACGGTTGGGAGCATCACTAAGAAGTCCCGTGCTAGGCGGGGCAGTGGTGGCGCACACCTTTAATCCCAGGGCTTGGGAGGCAGAGGCAGGCGGTTCTCTGTGAGTTTGAGACCAGCCTGGTCTACAAGAGCTAGTTCCAGGACAGCCTCCAAAGCCTCAGAGAAACCCCTGCCTTGAAACCCCCCCAAAAAAAAAGAAGTCCCATGCTGAGTAGCATAGACTGAGGCCAGGGCCACAGTGGCTCTCGCTCCCCTGGGACACTTTGTCCTAGGGACAGAGCTCTGCTCAGTTCTGCTCAGAGGCCATGTGTGGTCATCACTGCTCTCCCAAAGCACAATTGGAGGAAGTGAAGATGAAGGAGCTGAGGGGACACGTGAGGTGGGAGAGGGGACGGGACCAAGTGTCAGGAGACACTGCCCTTCAGCAAACCTGACATCTGGAACTAAGCCAGTCAGAGCAGGACTATGGACCAACACCATGGACACCCAGGAAGGAAGCCGTAGATCCAGAAGGAAACTTCAATTCCCTCCATCTCAGGCTCCGTGCCTTCACACGACAGCGTTCTCTCCTCGCCAGCGTCCTAGCTCAGGCACTGCTGCAAGGCAGCCAAACTCATTCAATACCACAAGAGTAGAAATGGAAACTACAAGTGAAGAAGCTGCCCAAGGAGCTCACCACACTGCCTCACCTGTCTGATGTCTTGATTGTTCTGTGTGGGTAGGAATGGTTTCAGCGTCCGGTACCTCAGGTACAAAAGAAGCACAACCACTGCACTCAGGAAGATGAACTTGGAGTGAATGTCCACAAAGGCTGAGGAGAAATGTCCAAAGCTCAACCATGGTTCAGTAGCGCTATTCAGAAAGGAGAGGACCTTCTCCATAGTGTGAATCGCAAGGCTGCCTGAGGCAGCTATGTTCTGAGGCTGCGCGGGCCTCACTGTAGAGTCAGGCCTGCATCACAGACCCAGGGAGAGTCACAGAGGGTTTGTGAGGTGGGGAGGAGGGTGAGCCTTCGCTCCCCTGCCCCACCCCCCAGCAGAGCCCTCTGCCCGAGCCTGCTGCCCCGTTGCCACCTAGCTGTCCTCATGTCATGTTCCACAGGGGTTGCTCTGTGACCAGGACTTCACCACAGGCCCATTTACTGTCTGAAGCTCTCGAATTGGATCCTTGCAATTCTCCTGCCTAGAGCTTGACATGGCGTCTTCCTGGAAATGTTTGCTGTTTGTCGGTCTCCCCTGGACCAATGTCCTTCAACACATCTTATCCACAGGACCATTTTCTCTAGCTAAGGCGAAGTTTCCTTTCCATGTATTTACTTTGTGAATGCCCAATGGCCAACCTTTGTGTTTGATCATCTTTCGGGGTCTTCAGAGGCACAGACTAAAATCATAAAGCTATTGTAAATATGGGATGTATAGAATCAAAACTCCAATCTATCTTTTGGGTATGATTATACTTTTTTTTTTTAGTGGTGATGTATTTGGAAAGTCAGATCGGGAAGGAGCAGGCTAGTCATAGAAGGGGGCGCGCCTGGTGGTTTGGGGGAAAGTTGGTTAACGGGGTCAGAGGCAGGCCCGCCAGCTGAAGAATCTTAGGGAACCCAGCAGGCTGTGTGGTCTGTGGATAGCTGGAAATTAAAGTCTGCTACACAGAGCAGGATGAGGTGGGGAACCTGGAAGGCTGGCCAAATGGAAATGGGAGAACTTGTGTGAGCTGGGATGGAAGGGTAGGTTGGGTAGACAAATGTTTTTGTGGTTGTTTGCACTGGGTAGAGTTGAGCAAAGTGGGAATGGAGCTGGCTAGGTAGAAGGGAAGCTGAGGGGCACGGACAGTGTTATCAGATCCTGGAAAAGCAGACGACTCCTGGATGGCTGGGTGGGCTGGCAGGTCAGCAGGAAGTAGACCAGGGCGAATGAGACCAGGCTCACCATCACGGCGGCCGTTGTGTCCTAAGCTGGGTTGGGGAACTGGATAGCAGCCAAGGCTGCTGGGCAGTATGTGTAGGCAGTGTGCAGAGTGACAGAATAGGAAGCAGGGTATGTTGGCAATGGGACACCTCGTGTGGAGGACAAGCCGGGGAGCATGGCAGGCTGGCCAGCTAGGATGTGGCTGGTGGCAAAGGTGCCATGGGTTAGGTTTAGGGGCAAGGTGGGGTGAAAATGCTAGGGGGCCACAGGACAGGGTGAGTTGGCCATGCAAGCATGCCGGGGGTGGGGCAGAACATGGTCCTGCTACATTGCCCAGTGTAGCTTGGGAACGGGCTTTGCTGGAAGATTAGGTAGGATGGGAGGAGGACAGGATGCAGTTGAGGTGACGTTTGGCATGTTCTCGGGGTGCACAGGTGGTGTGGGGGGACTGGGGTGAGCAGAGTAACAGGCCAGGCTAGTGGCCACTCTGTGACAGCACTAAAGTATGTCGGGGAATGTGGGAGGCTGTGGAGACGGCAGAAATAGATAGGGTGAAGACAGAAACTGCGGTTAGATGCCGAGGGGCAGAAGGTGAGGAGGGTTACAAGGGCCGACAGGTGTCAGGGCTAGAGGAGGCATACCACAGTGAGTCTGGGCATAGTGGGGGGCCCTGTCCACTCAGAGGGGGAAATTACAGACCCGAATGAGCTTAGGAAAGGGGCTGCCTGTGGCCTGGCCATGGTTGGATTAGGGTGCATTGGGATTGTGGTGATCTGTGGAACCAGGCATTCTGGTGGCACTATTGTGACATGAGGAAAGGGAATTATGTGACATCATAATCAAGGAACTTTGACAAGAGCTCCATGGTGGGCTAAGCTGAGGTGAGAAGCAATCCACAGGCTAGTTGGCGCAGGCTAGGGTGAGCCATGGAAGCTGGCTGGCTGGCAGCTTAGGAGGCACAGAACTAGGCTGGGTAAGATGAGGATCACAGAGCCCTGAGTGCTCCAGGGTCAGACACAGAACGGATTGAATATTGTACTGTGAGTGAGTGGAATGAACACGAGGGTGCAAGGGGGCATCTTGGGAATGGTCTGTGTGGCATCCTTCTCACGGATGGAATTGTGTGACTCTGGACACTGGACAGATTCACAGATCACAGCTCAGGGCACCGTGGCACTGGTAAGGGAGCATATGGGGTGCACTGGGCTGACAGGAGAGCAGTGTGCAATTTGGACTACAATGAGTTGGGTTACTATAGAATCTGCAGGCTAGGCAGCTGAGCTCACTGAGTTGGGAACCCGGTAGGCAGAGTGGCCACGAATGTCTAGTCAGTATTGCACATAGAGTCCACAGTTGGGTGAGATTAGTACCTTTTCTCCCCCCAAAACCTGTACAGTGAGTGCTTTCTTACTTAGGAAGTCCTTCCCTGTGCCTCTGTCATGCTGTTCCCCTTCACCTTTTCAGAGGTTCAGGTCTTACATTGAGATTTTTCCCCCCTTTGGTTTTTAGAGACAGGTTTTTCTGTGTAGCCCAGGGCTGTCTTGAAACTTGTTCTGTTAACCAGACTGGTTTCAAATTCACAGAGATCCGCCTGCCTCTGCCTCCCGAGTGCTGGGATTAAAAGCGTGCGCCACCACTGTCTGGCACCTTGATGCATTTGCAGTTCACTGGTATACAAGGTGACAGATGAGGCTCTGGCCTCATGCTCTATGTGTAGACATGCTTTGTTGAAGATGCTGTCCTTCTCTGGGTGTATTTCTCAGGCCCACTTTTTTTATGTGGGTGTTGGGGATTTGGGGATTGAACTCAGGCCCTTGTGTTTGTGCAGAAAGCACGTTTATCATTTAGCTCACCTCCTGCTCCTGGATTTTTAAATTAGTTTATTAGATCCCTATTCCATGCACTCGGTCCTAAGCCAAGGCACCCTTCAATGTAAGAGATTACACCTTTTAACAGATTATGACCACAAAGAGCTTCTTGTAGTGTTTGGAGATACTGTACACAGTGTGTGTGTGTGTGTGTGTGTGTGTGTGTGTGTGTGTGTGTGTATGGGCACGTGTGTTTAGGTGTGTATGCACCTGTGTGCATTCATGTGGGGGGTCAGAGGTTAATATTGTCTGTCTTCTATTGCTTTCCATTTTAAAAATTAAATGTTTTATTTAGTATTCATACATATACATAACATGTTTGGATCAAATCCACCCTCCATCCTTCTCCTCCCCTATTCTTGCCCCTCTTCATGGGCTTTCTCTTTTTCACTATCTACTGAATGCTTGTGGGGTAACCTATTAGAGGATAGCCAGTCTCTCAGGCCTTCTCTCTCTCTCTCTCTCTCTCTCTCTCTCTCTCTCTCTCTCTCTCTCTCTCTTTCCTCTCCTCTCCTCTCTCTCTCTCATGACTCTCTCTTCTCTGGTAACCATCAGCTGTCAGTGGCTCCTAAACTTCATCCATGCCGGGGTTTTGGCTGGTTGATCTTGTGTGGGTCTTGTGCACTCTGTCCCAGCCATTGTGAGCACATTTGTGCAACTGTATTGTCGTGCCTGGCAAATGCTCCCCCTCTGGAGACCTCTCCCACTCTGGTCCTTACTGTCTTTCTACCCCTCTTCTGAAATGATCTCTGAGTCTTGATCTCTGAGTCTTAAGGGGGGAGAGTATGCCAAGCACCCCACAGTCTCTTATTCTTTTAAAGATTTATTTATTATGTACACAACATTCTGCGTCCATGTATATCTGCACAACAGAGGAGGGCACCAGATCTCATAACAGATGGTTGTGAGCCACCATGTGGTTGCTGGGAATTGAACCCGGGTCCTCTGGTAGAGCAGTCAGTGCTCCTAACCTCTGAGCCGTCTCTCCAGTCCTCTTATTCTTTTCTTGTTGGGCAGGTCTATCTCATTTGCTGCTGCTCTTTTGTTTTGGGGCAGAGATGCTCTGCAAAGCTCTGGCTGTCCTGAAATTCACCATGTAGACCAGGATGGCCGTCAGCCTCATTTTCTGAGACAGTTTCTCTCACTGAATCTGGATAGACTCTGCTCAGCACACGCTGGAGGTCACAGGCACATAGCATCGCATTCAGCTTATTGTGTAGGTGCTGGGAATTTGATTTCAGGTCTTTCTGCTTACATGGCAAGCATGTCGCCTGTGGGTGACCCTGAAGACACATGGCCATCAAGAGAGTTTAGTTTGTTTCCACCTGACTAGAAGTTGCCTGATGTTGCCTCATCCACAATTTTCTCAGGGCAGAGAGACAACTGCATGGAAGACTTTGCTCAGCAACACAGGAGGCAAGCTGTGGTGTCCTTGCCCAGCACCCAGGAGTTTTGTTACTTGTTTTGGACACCAGGTGGCATGAGCCTCCAGCCTTTTTCTTGGGCTTTTTCAGGTACTGCAGTCAGCAGGCTCTTGTCCTTAAATCAGTTGAATCGGGTGTTATCTTTTGGATCCAAATTATTCATCTCTATATAGCAGGACTCCGCTCACGGCTTTCTGACCTTTGTAAACCTTCTTGATGCAGACATATCCTCTGTCCCTCAGGATATGCTTGTGAAAACAAGGAGAAAGACACATTTCAAAGCTCTGAATAGATAGGGATGAGGCATAAACATGAAAAACCACCTGAAAGCCGGGTGGTGGTGGCGCATGCCTTTAATCCCAGCACTTGGGAGGCAGAGGTGGTTGGATCATTGTGAGTTTGAGGCCAGCCTGGTCTACAGAGGGAGTGTCAAGAGAGGCTCCAAAGCTACACAGAGAAACCCTGTCTAGAACGAAAAACCAAAACAACCAAAACAAAACAAAAACCCACCTGAATTCAAGCCTTGGAGTAAAAATCAGCAGTAATAGTTTCTCTAAGTTAAACTAAGCCTGTGTGGGCTCCCATGTTAAATGGTCTTTCCTGGTCCCTTGGTTACTGTGCTCCTCATTTGCTACTGAATCTCAGGCCATGATTGGACAATGCATCGCTTTGTGTTTCTTCA